CGGCCCTTTCTGTAAGATGAGTAGTCGAGGGAATGGGCGCATTCCCAACAGCAGTAAACGCCGTCCAACCTTAGCAGTCCTCACTGACATCTGATTTGGGAAACTTTATTTGTCGACTTCGACATCCATTCGATAGGCTTACTATCAGTGACAGCTGAGCTTCGGGAGCGGAATGTTTGGGCAGGGGAAAGTCGGCAAGGGGAGCTTTGATTCGTTCGAAAGCAGTCAATGCTGCACCCATGGTGACTCATGGGACGAGACAGTATGTTGGTGAGCGGCAGCATGAGGGCGGCATAATTCGGGAGGAAGCGGCAATAAAATGTGGCCATGCCTAAAAATCGTTGCACCTGACGCCTGGAGCTAGGTGGAGGGCACTAACGAAGGCTGAGGGCAGAAGACGTAAACCGTCGAAGTCAACATGATGGTCGAAGAAATTGACTGAAGAGATGTGGTTAGAAAGCTAACACACTATTGGAGTGAAACAATAGCTAACCCTCAGACAATGATAACAACCAAACGAGCAACACCGCGAAGATCAAAAGAACCCAAATATAAAGGTACGTGAAATATTACGGAAAATAGACACGACCTGAATGTTGGTATCTACGCAGATAAAAGTCTAACGATGTTGTCAGTGCATTCAAAGTCCATAGGCAACCAAGGAAAAAGGAAGCGAGAATGTTAAAGGTCAAAAATAGTCGGGGATCGCCACAGAGACACCAAAAAGGCACTTGGAGGGCTCGATGATGACGCTAAACTTGTCAAGACGGCCAAACACCACGGCGAGTTGCTCCTCGTACTCTTAAGCACTCAGACGAGACACCAAGATGTCATCTGTGTATGTCTACATAAACGGCAGAACATGCAATACCTGGTCGATGAACCTCTGGAACGTTTGGGCAACATGGGTAAGGACGAACGACATCCGGATAAATGCAGACAGGTTCAACTGTGTAATAATGCCCGTTTTGAAGACATCTTCGGCGGCGACAAGGGTCTGATAAGACCACGCACCAAGCGTACCACGTCGGGGTCACCAATATCGTAGAGAGTCAAGTTAATAAGGGAAAAACCTGGCCGCTGCGAACCTTAGGCCCGGTTCCCCCTGGGAAGAGAAGAAGTGGGACGCCAGTTGGAGGGAAAAGTATATTACGTACAGAGGTTGGATAAAGTTGGCAACCGGACGAGTGCATGCCTACAGTCGTGAGGGCGGCGTGAGAAGTGTGAGAGCTCGGAAATCGACCAACGGCTCCAGCGAAGTCAGGCGTGAGCCAACCTCAGGCAGATGCTTGGTCAGACCGGATTTGGCTCAACAGACACTAATGCGCGGACGCTAACAGTCGCGAGATACGAGAATTCGACAGTTGCGCACTGAGATGTGTCATCATAGGTTCACCAACTTCCGAAATCAGTACAGAGGCCGTTTTCCAATGATTTGAATTGCTGATCTTTGATCTGCAACGGTTAGAGACCGGAGTGCTGGACTTGGTCTTTGGATGAACTCTTCGGTGTCATCAAACGGGATCAGGTAGTAACATTCAAAGAGCCCCTCAACGCCATCTTCCAGGACATTCAATTAACGATAGAGAAGGAAGAAAAGAGTCAACTGGCTTTTCTGGATGTTCTCGTTTGCCGCAACGATTTTACTGGCCTAACAACCGAAGCATTCAGTGAAAATGACTAACATTGTGCAAGAACTTAATTTAAAAAGCAACCGAAAGTTCAACTATTGATTTCGGTTATGTGTACCGTATCCTCCAAACAGGTTTGTGCAGGGACGGTTAATTGCGCAGCATCTACCGCACTCTCTATTCTCTACCCCACCCACGCCAAATGTCAAGACACAGTCAAGAAGACCGGAGGTGGGTTCAGGCGCAGGTGGCTGGCGTGGCCGAAGCGTGTTGCCACAGCTCGGATCTCAGCTATAAGGGAGTGCAATAAAAACACATTAAGAAACACCCACCGCAGCCTGACTCTCAGTCCGCCAGTAAGCCACTACACACACCACAACATACTGGGCTGAGCGCGTATTCCAAGTTTCGCGTAAGTGAGCTACTTTACAAAAAACGTCTTTTAGCGCACCCTTATAGCTTCAGTAGGGTCAGCTTGTTCACAGTGAGCTAAAATACACAGAGCCGTTTAGCTCCCCTACGTCCAGCGTCGAAGCCGGTCCTTTTTCGTTGTGATA